GCAGAGAATTAAGGAGAGTGTAATAGGAAGGTCAAAACTTCAATATAAAAGTGTACTAATGAGATTCTGTTTATGAGCAATGGGTGTCCATTCTAATGAACATGTTGAGGAGCACATATTATACCTTCTAGAATTTTCATTGTGATGATTAATTTTAAGTGTCAGCTTGCCTGGACTAGCAATTGAAGGAGTTAGTGGGTAAAGACTGTAGGATACAAATGGATTTTCATCTAAATATTCTATGAGGGCAATAAATTCTGCGGAGATACTGAGGATTTACTTGGTAACAGGCATTCAGTTATTGGACATGTCATTGAACCACATGTGGAAAGGGTCTACCTTGATGGCGATTATCATCTGGTATGGATTTGGACAGTAAGCAAGTACTTACACCAAGACTAGTTGACCTCAAAATAGGGGGATCTGGGCACAGCAATGTATTCCTGGGTCGGTAATTTGGATTAGTGATTTCTTTAGTTAGATACAGAAGAAATAGCATGGTTTTTTTAAAAAAAAAAAATGGGGGGAAAAAAATTTCCAACAACAAAGGGGAAAAACAAAAAAAAAAGCAACAAAATGCCGGAATTTTTTTGGGGGGGGGGCTGAATAGAAGTTAGGAGGTTGGAAATTTTCATTATCATTGAGGATTTTTATTAATTGTGCAGAATAAAAGGGAAGATATGATGGTGATGGCATTAGTAGAGCATGTATTGAGATCATCCATAGCATTTTTTTCAGTATATGTTTCACTGACACTTATGACAGGAAAATACAGAGAGAAGTATCATCTAAAGCTCATGGAAATAGCAAATAATATCAATAAAATCCTATCAAGTGAGGAAAAATGTTACCAGATGGACTAAAAGAAAACATACAGTTCATATAAGATAATAGCTAACAACTTAGAACTAATCATCCAGATGCTATTTCTGTTCGCAAGCATAGTCTTCTCTCTAGTATTTTCTTCAAGGCAACATTGACATCCTTATTTCTCAGGCTGTATATCAGGGGGTTCAGCATGGGCACAACAATAGTATAAAACACAGAAGACACTTTCCCTTGACCTGTGGACTTGACAGGTGATGACTGTAGGTACATGAATGCAGCAGATCCATAGAAAATAGCCACTGCTGATATATGGGAGCTGCAGGTACTGAAGGCTTTGAACCTGCCCTCCGTGGAACGAATGCGGAGGATACTGGCAATGATGAAGATGTAGGAGCTAAGGATGGTCAGGCTGGGGGCAAGGATATTAATTGCACTAAAGATTAAAATTAGTAATTCATTGACATATGTACTAGAGCAAGAGAGCTTCAGGAGATAAATAAGATCACAGAAATAATGGTTGATCACATTGCATTTACAGAAATGTATTCTAAACATGCAGCCTGTGTGAGCAAAAGCACAACTCAGGCCTATCATGTACACTCCAAAAATTAGAGAGAAACAAGTCTGATAGGACATGACCACATTGTAGAGCAGGGGGCTACAGATGGCAACATAGCGGTCATAGGCCATGGCTGCCAACATGTAGCACTCAGAAATAGCAAAGACGAGGAAGAAGTAGAGCTGAGTCATGCATTCAGGATAGGAGATGATGTTCCTCTCTGCCATGAAGTTCACCAGCATTTTGGGGGTAATGACTGTGGATTGGCAAAGATCGATGAAGGACAGGCTGCTGAGGAAATAGTACATGGGGGTGTGCAGGTGAGAACTGAGCCCTATCAGTATGATCATGCCCAGGTTCCCCACCACAGTGGCTGCATAGATCCCGAGGAAGAGGAAGAAAAGGGGCATCTGGAGTTCTGGCTGTTGTGTTAGCCCAGCGAGGATGAACTCAGTCACTGTGGAATGATTTCCTGCTACCATCTTTCTTTGTGTTTCTGAAGATGAGAGAGAAAAATCATAGTTGTTGGGATGGCCTCTGCAGGACAGGTACCCCATGCGGATGGTTCATGGTTTAGGCAGCCTTCTGATCAATATGATCAAGTAACTCTGGGTTACTTTACACAGAAGTTCATCTCCACATAATGTTCCTTAATATTCTTTAAACCTCCTTTTCAAACATAATAAAATGTAAAATGACACATTTTAAAATGTAAAATATAAATGTAAAATGACACATTCACTAATGAAACTCACAGTTTAAGTTATTCTTAACTACATATTTCCTTGTTACTTTACTAATGTGAACCAAATCAGACTTACTCTCTTTTTATCCCAAGTAAATGGCATACACCTAGCATGTCATAGAAAGCTGTAAAAATATAAGTAAGTGACTATTGAATATAGGTATGGAGGAACAATTGCAGACGTCTCCATAGGATTCCTTCCACATTCAACAATCTCATATCATAAGAAATCAACACACTCACCACTTTGGTTCCTGAAAATCTCAATGCCAAACTTTGCAGCTTTCAGGAGTGCTAAGGTTGGTGCTAGGAGTCAGAGGTCCCCAGCATCCCACTATCTTGAGTGCCAAAAAGGCAGGCACAGTCCTGCCTCAGCCCCTTGTGAAGGCCATCTGATGTATAGGGCACCATCTCCAAGGGTGAATTTTCAGTGTTTCTCCAACTTTAGGGTAGCAAACATCCTGTCCCCAGAGCAGTTCCGATTGCTGGGCTAAATAGTCCAGGCACCAAATAATGTGGGATGAATGTGGAGACAAATACTCTCCAAGGATTTCTATTTCTCAGGGAAAAGCTCTTGAGAAAAGTAGCAATTGCGGTGATATTTCCCAGTTGACTAACTTCTTCCTTCAAGAGGGATTCTTGGTCAAGACTAAACTTACCAATCAGTGATTACAATTTGTGTGCAGGGAAAACCTGAGAATTTCTTTTCATTCAAAGTGAAATGTTTTATGTTCTTATTGAGGTAACACTAGTTTACAACTTTGACTATGATTTAAAGGTATAGGGTCACACAGATGAGGTGTCTGTCGCCACCCTATACCACCACCAAGGCACTGGAAGTTCTCCACCATAGGTCATTGTGCCTCCTCCCTGCTTTGCTCTCTCCCCTCTGGTAGCCTCATTTCTACAGATTTCTAGGTTTTATTTTTATATTTGGTTTTATCTGACTCTTTGTTTTGCTTCTCTGTGTTCCACATATAAGGGGCACCTTCTACTATGTGTCTTTCCTCTTCTAACTTACTTCACCTAGCAGTCATTATTCTGTCAACTTTCATCCACATTGTTACAAAACTCAAAATATATATTTTTTAAATTTTTCTGGCTGTGTACTGTCCCAGAGTATGTGTTTCCCAAATCTTCCTAATCTACTTATCGGTCTTTGGCATCTAGGCTGCCTCCATAACTTCACTATTTTAAAAAGTGCTGTAATGAGCATAGGAGTGGAGATGCTCTGGATTAATGCGTTGGCGCTCTGCAGGTAGACACCTATAAATGGAATCACTGGATCATATGGTAGATCTGTTTTAATATTTTCATGAATCTCCAACTGCTTTTCATAGGGGCTAGACATTTCCTGCCAACAATTGTGGTTTCTAGTCTTTTGACATGGGCCTCTCTTACAGGTATGAGGTGGTAGGTATCTCATTGTGGGTTTGATTTGCATCCTCCTGAAAATAAGTGGTGATAAGCATTTTATCATGGGCCTAATTGGCTATGTATCCTCTTTGGAGCAGATCCTATTTACCTGTTCTGCTTTTATTTATTCTGTGTCAGTCCATTCATTTCTGTTGGATACAGCACCTAGTATGTCAACCAAGTCTAAGACAGGAGTTGTAACTCTGGCCTTTTTCCCTTCTGTAATAAGACTGATGAAAATCAAATCAAACACTAAATATTAGGGTACTTTGAAAGTCAATGTATGGCACCAATGAATGAATGGATAATGAAATACTAACATGGTAAAATACATATTTGCCCTGTATTTGCAAACTGTTGCTAAACACTGCATAAATGTGATACGCTATGGAGAGTGTATTTATTTGCAAATGATTGAGTACAGTGGTATGAATTGGGGACAGAAGAAAATTAAATATTTAGAATATGATGTAAATTCATAGTTATAAAATATTGATTGCCCAGAAGCAGATATGCAGTAACATCAGGGGAGAAAAGAAACTCCTTAAAAAGATATTGACCTGAAATAACTATTGTAAAGTTATTGTAAAGAGCATGAAACTTTACATGAAAACAAATGAAAAAGATAGTTTTGTAGATATTGTTGTTTACATAATTAGTTGGTCCATGAATAATAGTGTTACTGATAAAAAGATAATACTATGTGTGTGTATAAAAAAATAAACCACAGTCTTCTATACATATATAAGTATATGTATATATAAACTACTATCAACTATAGCTTGAGTCCCTATCATGAGTCTAAAATGAGTTTTCATTTTCATTTTTTTTCATTAATATGCAAAGGTTTGAAAGACTATTTTCATTTTAATGGATGGAATGGAAAGGAAAACAATAATGGTACTGTCAGGTGGAAAACAGCATGGCCATATATATAGCTGGGGGATTGTTATACATACGAGACAATTCTTCGGGAGTGTGTAGAACTACCTACTAGTCCCTGGAAGCCAAGAACCATTTTAAGTAAAATTGTGGACCCCAGACTCAGAGTTGCTAGATTGAATATTCGTTAGGAGTAAGATCTTGGGCTTTTATGTGAATGAAATGAGCTCAATTTGTTAATCTTTAAATGGGAAATAATAGAATCCTTGACCTGAAGAAATACTATAAATAATACAGTTATCCTTTAATAATTATCGTATCAAAGCTTGATACTTTATAAATTTTGCAATACGTTACTATCATCATCAGCTGCTAGTTTTCCCATTGTCATTTGCATCATTATTAAAAATAAATCTATAGATCATTTAATCCTGTGGAGTATTTTATTCTTAATTATGTTCCACACACAAACAATGTAAGTTCAAAGGAAATGACCTGAGGAAAAATTTTTCATATAGGCTATCGATCACATATATCAGCAAAAAAATTTTCTGATGACACTGATTCTATTCATGAACATTTTCTAAATTGCAGAATTTTCTTCAGGGCAATTATGACATCCTTATTTCTCAGGCTGTAAATGAGGGGGTTCAGCATAGGCACAATGATGGTGTATAAAACAGAGGACACTTTCCCCTGGCCATTAGAGTTCACAGATGATGGCTGAAGATACATGAATATTAAGGAACCAAAGAATATAGCAACACCTAAGATGTGGGAGCTGCAGGTGCTGAAAGCTTTGGACCTGCCCTCAGTGGAGCGGATGCGGAGGATGCTGGAAATGATAAAGATGTAGGAGGCAAGAATGGTTAAGGAAGGGAACATAATATTAAATGCACTCAAGACCAGAAGCAACAGTTCATTGATATAGATGCTGGAGCAGGAGATCCCAAAGAGTGGAAGGAGATCACAGAAATAATGATTAACCACATTCACCTTGCAGAAATAGAGTCTCAAAATTAATCCTGTATGGATTGTAGAGCCAATGATGCTCCAAATGTAAACTCCCGCAGAGAGCCAGAAGCAGATCTGAGGCGTCATGATGACATTATAAAGCAAGGGTTTGCAGATGGCAACATAGCGGTCATAGGCCATTGCAGCTAACATGTGACATTCCGCAATAGCCAAAATAACAAAGAAATAGAGCTGAGTCATGCATTCAGGGTAGGAGATGATGTTCTTCTCTGCCACAAAGTTCACCAGCATTTTGGGGATAATGATAGTGGACTGGCAGAAATCGATGAAGGACAGGCTGCTGAGGAAATAGTACATGGGGGTGTGCAGGTGAGAACTGAGCCCAATCAGTATGATCATGCCCAGGTTCCCCACTGCTGAAACCACATAGATCCCAAGGAAAAGAAAGAAGAGGGGCAGCTGGAGTTCTGGCTGTTCTGTTAGCCCAGCCAGGATGAACTCAGTCAGCATGGAATGATTCCCAGGGTCCATTATCCTCTCAGCAGGTTCTAAGTGTAAGAAAAATAAACAAATTAGTATTTCTGTGTGTGTGTGTGTGTTTGTGTGTGTGTAAGCATGTATAAAAGAGACAACATGTGTTTGTTGGGAAAGTAATGCTGTGGAGAATATACTTTCTCCTTCAGAGCAGATTCATAATGCAGAGATCACTGAATCTTTTCTTGCTTCTGATACCGAAGATTTTGTCCGAGTCACAGAAGACATTATAAAGTACCCTAAAATTAAGATATTTCACACATTTTAAGAGAAAGCAGTAATTATGCTATTTTGAAGTTATTCACAAACTGTATCTACTGTTAAGTCTGAGGAGTTTTTCTTTCCTTCCATGCCCTGTATGTATATATTAATATCATCTGTGTCAAAAAGCATGACATTTTCATTTTGTTCAGTATAATTAGTAGTATGTGCTTTCTACAATTAATGAAGATGGGATGTTTAAATCAGTGAAAATAGTGATATTGCTCTGCTCGATTTTAAAATTTAATGAAATATCTTGGTTCATAGTATTATATAGAGCGATGGTTCACATTATAAATCAATATCTGCATAAACTCCATTATGGTTCCCACTGTACTAAATTTTCTGTCCTAAATTCCCCACTGAATTAACAGAAAAAGGTATTTTTGCATCTATGATTTTGTGGTCCTGCTTATTCCACCACCTTCAAACAAATCTACCACCAGAGGCAGGAATTTAACAGGTTGGCACACATCATGTGGCTATGAAGCAGTTCTAAGAAATTGTCCTCCCTTCTAACTTGAATAACCCCAGAAGCCGTAATATAATGGCTTCAGTTCTGTCACATAGTCCGCCATGCTGGTCAGGGAAGAGTAGAATGTCATTTGCCTGTACAACTTCGACGGCACATTTGAAGAAGCAGAAGTCAGACAACTATTTCTGTTCCCCACATATGAGGAAGGTTTTTGAAGACAAACACTGGGTATCAATTATGTTGCTCTTTTATTGATACTGATGGAGCTTGTGTGTACTTTCTATGGAATATAAAACATTAGAGATTTACATTAGTAGAGCACTTGCAGCATGAAGCTTAGTAACTTAAATGTGATATAGTCAGCATTCTTTTAAAGAAGCCCATTGAATCTTTAGAGTTGCAAAATAAAAGAGCAGAAAATTAATATTGGAAATTCACATTTTTATTCAACCAGCTATAGTTGGTTTAGTGTTTTCATTTTAAGAGTTTATGTGCTATAGGAAAAGTGCACAATTTCAGAAAAATAATCCAGAGATCTATCATTTGAAGAATGACTGAAATAACTGAGGTTTTTGGCTAACAGAGTAAAAATACATGTATTAGTTATCACAATGATCACCATATTGCTTTATTTGAGAGGTATCAGACTTACGACATGTGTATTCAAGAGAGTGAAATAAAACTAACTGAAATTAGGGGGAGAGAAGTATGTGGTTTCCCAACAAAAGCCAGCCATTTTACCCATTAGACATGCACAGTCAGAAATGTCTGAGCAGAATATGATCAGTCAGTAATTTAGGAGGTCTTTCTTGTCAAGTGTATTTGCATCTAATGGGGGGAGGGATTAAATTAATATCTCATCCACTTTCAGCATGTCATGACTTCATAAGTCCAATAGGTTTGACATTAATTTAGCAAGGAGTAGGTTAAAATCTAATCCCAGGCCCTTCCTGGTGATGCAGTGGCTTAAAGCACAGCACTAAGAAGCTAACGCCACTTCAGCATGAGTTCAAGCCCTGGCCCTGGAGGTGACCCACATGGCTGGCAGACCTCTCCTGACCCACCTGCTGCTCACCTCAGCAGTGTATATCAGTGGATCTGCCAGTTCTGCGAATCCTCTCACTGCCCTTGCACCTCTGGCCTTTACCCCAGTTCTGTATTCATAAATAAATCTTAAAAAAAAAAAATTAACCCCATAAGTTTGTGTGATAATTGCACCCACTATCTACCAACAGGAGAAAAAAAAAATGATAGTGTCTGTCTCTTGTGGAAATTAAGCTAAATGAACCCTCAAGGTGCTTTGATAGAACTTAATGACTTTTAGTGCTATTTTAATTTTAATCTGTTTCTCGATGATCTCCCTTTTATTTGATGAACATTTTCATTCTTACAATAGAGCTTTAAATTTGCTTTCTTTAGCACATCCTCTTGCTGTCTCTACATAAGTACCTATAATAACAGAGATTTAGAATTTTTAATTGACTGCTAATAACCATTACATTCCAGGATCTCTAATAAAATTTAAACAAGTGATTTTTCTGTGTAATAAAACATTTATATCTCACAAGAGAAAGAGAAGCTTTCTTTTTTATGTGCCAAAAAAATCATATAATTAGTTGTTTTGCAAAACAACATTTACTTCATAGCATGGTTTGTTTGTTTGTTTGTTTGTTTTTTAAGTTTTTCTATCATTCTATCTCCTCTATCCTATAAAAATCTCTTTAATAGTTAAAGGTCTGATAAAAACCCCCAGCTCAGATCCCCATCTACTTGAACCTAAATACATTACATTTCTTATCATTGCATTAATTGCTCACTTTTTTTTTTTTTTGCTAAGGCTGTAATTCAATTCAGTACATGATACAGTGCCTTCTATATACCTAGCTTCAAAATATACATGTATTTAATACAATTATTGAAAGGTTAGTGATAACTTAACATGGACTCAAAATAAAGTAGCAAAGTTCTCACAGTGCCCTGGTCAAAATGATTAAACATTGACGTGCTTGTCATAAATTTTATTAGCAGGGGACAGGTAGCTAAAAAGGGAACCTGTAGTCATTAAGAATATGAAAACTAGGTAGACAGATCAATAAATACATGCACAGGGAACAAAGAGAAGTCTAAAATTTCAAAATCAAGGAATGGGATTGAGGCATACTCCTTTACTTCCTATTTAATTCAGTGCCGTGTATTCCTCCCTTCCATTTCTCTGAAGGGGAAAAAAATTCTGATGCTTCTGGTAGTGTTCTGAGTACTAACCTTGCTGGACTCTTTGGTGTTGAGGGGGTCACAGCCTAAAAGTCTCCATGGCAATAATATTGAGTCACTGATTCTGGTCTCAGTGAAGTTGAATTGCAAAGTTTGGCTAATAGGATGATTTTATACTCTGGGTATTAATGCTGAGTCTGAGTAGGAATAAATAATGATAATGACATCCCACTAGAATCTTATCCCATAAGCATAACCATTGGGAAAAGAAACAATTAGAACCTCCTTTATTTTCCCCATTGACTCAGTGTTTAATGGTGTCACAAGGTATGATTTGTTATTGCTGGGATAGAGAGTGGAAACATGGATATCATAGATACTGATAGAGTTACAGTAACTTTTATGATAAGTTAATTCAAAGTTCCAAATTTGAGGACTTTTTAAAGATACTAAAGGAATTTTCTAAAGTAGTTTCCCACAGGAGAAAAGTAGAAATCAAGGGGAAAGAATCTTCGAATATAAGATTTCAAAGATTTAAACTAATAATTTCAAGGTATATGTAGACTACAACCAATACTGACATGGAATTTTTTTAATGAGTGGATAGTTCAATGATTAAAAAGTATATTTGAAAAGTTTTATTTTTACCTACTTCATCTAAATGTGTTGGTATTCCATGAGAGTCTCATAAAATAGTAATAGTTGGAATACTTAACCATGGGGGCTAATTGAAATCATTGATTAGACACTGCTTTAACCTTGTGAAGTTCTTAATGAATTTAACCAGGAAAAATGATGACTTACTTTCCTTTAAAATAAAAACAGAAATTTTAAGAAATAATGTAAAGGCATGTTTGACAGATTATTTCATTGTTCTAAAAACACTGAAATATTTTACATTTTTGGAAGTAAGATTGTATTTAATGTTTTATCATGGTGAAATAAAATTATAACATATTTTTATCAAATTCATATTTTTTTCCAACTTGAAGAGAAAATTGGCATAGGCCATTGTTTAAGATAAAGATGTTTTAGATGTACATTTAAATGTTGTAAATTGATTGCCATCATCAAATTACAATTTGGTTACCACAACCAATATTCCAATGTTAAGTGTCATATCACATAATTAACATTTCCTCTTTGTGGTAAGAGCCTTTCAAATCTACTCCCTTGGAAGCTTACATAATGTAATACTACTAACAACATACACCATTCTATTAATTAGATCCCCAATAGTCATCTTATAAATGGACATTTGTCATCTTTTATGACCTCCCTACTTCCCCCCAATGACCACCTGGTAACTGCCACTCTTATTTCTATAAGCTTAGCCTTTTTTAGAGGTCAGATCTAAGTGCTATTATATCGTATTTGTCTTTCTCTGCCTGATATTTTACATTATATTTATATTAAATATCAGATGTTTATTATTTATCAGCCCTTTTCTCAAATGATTATACAATCATGACAACTATTAAGAGAGCTGAAAAAGCCATTGTTTCTATTCTTGTCCAAGCTAGAAGCTGGCATTCAACCCCATGCTTTCCTGAGGCTGCCCCTCACTGGTTAGTCAAGCTTCTCTGAACAGTGCAACTTTTCCAACATCTCATGAACTTTCCCTTCCTTTCCGCACCCGTGTCTGATGTGCAGTTCCTTGCTTAGAGTAACAGAATGATTGTAGAATGGTCTCCTTGAATCAGCTGTCTTCTTACCATCCATCTTCTACACCAACTTTGTGTTAATAGTAACATGCAAAACTGTCTCTGCCCTATTTAAAACCACGGAGGACTCCCTTCGCTGTGATAAGGGGTGACATCTAACAGTGATCAGTGGGGATTATGAGACATCTTCTGCTTGCTCCTGTCTGTGTCACTGTCACATTATTCCAAATCAGAGATGATATGCAGGAACTGCACAGGTCATTTGCCTTTTTTTGATGAGACAGTCACCTTTCACTTCGTTGCTATTTACTTTATGGGGTCAAGTCCCAGTAATTCAAGCGTCCATAACCAGAACGCTTTTTGTTGTCCATTTTTCTGCCTTACAGTGCTCAGTCATGGTATCATGTCTAAGATAGGCCTGTCATTGTCATCATTTCCCTTTATTTTATAGGACTGATTAAGTCCTATAATCAGTATGAAATCTCTTTGGAAATGAATACCCAACTACAGTGAGTAACTAGGTAATAGGATACTAGGGTGGTAAAGATGTGGGAGTTCTTTTGCCCTAGAATTGGAAACTGGAGCAAGTCACTGCAGTTTATCAGGTGAAAATTATGCCATAGTCTCCAAAGGAGCCATCCTGGCAATGATTAGTAAGTAGGGTGATGTGACTTAGGGAGAGAAAGAAGACAGTTGCATATTTATACTGTAGTATAATTTGAAACACTTAATGTAACTAAGTGTTATAACTTATTAAATGTCCAGAAAGTCAAGAAGTGATGTTAAATAGTGAAGTTCAAATAGAAAAAAATATGGCAACTATTTGTAAAGTATGAGGCAAAAGACCATGAACCATTGTTTTATGATGTGATTCAGCGGAATTCTAGTTTACATGAGCATTGTTACTTCATAACTCAAAGTAGCAATAGCGGTTTAAAGACAAAACAATTGCTCTATAAAAAGTATTGCTGTCACGTATAAGAATTTGAATTCCATTATGTTTCTTTATTTTGTGTTGAAGAGCACAGGTTCAAAAGATTTCATTATTTCCATTGTAGCATATGAAATATCAGTAAGAGAATCATTAAATATGTAGAGGAAACCAGCAGTCTTACCTTAACTAAGGATGTTTCTATGTAGAAGGAAATTCTCAGAAAGGTTTTTGATCCACCCACAATTACTTGGGCCATAGATCAATGAGAAAAAACTCTCTTGCTTTCTTTTTTTTTTTTTTTATTTGTGGACCCTGTCAATTTTATCATACTAAATAAACATTTTCTTCATCTTTAAAAGGGAAATGATAACAGAGTTTGCCTAAAGAATACAGTTTTATTAAATGAAGTTATGTATTCAAAGTACAGGACTTAATGCTTCACAACTTCTATAAAATGATAATAAGACAATATTATCAATTTTTATTGTTTGTATTGTTTTAAAATTAATAATGTTTGCTTTTAATCCACAATCTTGTATTCCAGTATTTCTTAGTACATATGACTATAATGTATTTGAACATAATACATAGAACACATATAGTCAAAGGAGTGATGCTAAGAGAATTTTGAAGACATGTCCAAAAGGAAATGCCACTAATTCCCCAATTTTGAATATAACACTAAAACATTATATATATATATAATCTTTAGCTATAAATATATAAAAATATCAGCAAAAATTATATATATATACATATATATATCATCAAAGCAGAGTTTATGTCTGATATGATATTGACATTGATTTTATTTATGAATGTTTGCTGCAATCCAGAATTTTTTTCAAGGCTAATTTAACATCCTTATTTCGCAAACTGTAGATCAAGGGGTTCAGCATAGGAACAATGATGGTATAAAACACAGAAGACACTTTGCCTTGATCCATGGAGCTCACTGAGGATGGCTGCAGGTACATGAAGGCACCAGATCCAAAGAAAACAGAAACAGCTGAGATGTGGGAACTGCAGGTGCTGAAGGCTTTGGACCTACCCTCAGTGGAGGTGATGCGGAGGATGCTGGAGAGGATGAAGATGTAGGAGGCAAGGATGGTTAAGGCAGGAAACAGGATGTTAAATGCACTCAAGACTAGAACCAATAATTCGTTGATGTAGATGCTGGAACAGGATAGCTCCAGGAGTGGAAAGAGGTCACAGAAATAATGATTAACCACATTGACCTGGCAAAATAGGAGTCTCAACATAAAGCCTGTGTGGATTGTTGACCCAATGATGCCCAAAACATAAACTCCCGCAGAGAGCCAGAAGCAGATCTGAGGCGTCATGATGACATTATAAAGCAAGGGTTTGCAGATCGCAACATAGCGATCATAGGCCATTACAGCTAACATGTGACACTCTGCAATAGCAAAAATGATGAAGAAATAGAGCTGAGTCATGCATTCAGGGTAGGAGATGATGTTCTTTGCTGTCACAAAGTTCACCAGCATTTTAGGAGTAACAGTAGTGGTTTGACAAAAATCAATGAGAGACAAACTGCTGAGGAAATAGTACATGGGGGTGTGCAGGTGAGAACTGAGCCCAATCAGTGTGATCATGCCCAGGTTCCCCACCACTGTGACCACATAGATCCCGAGGAAGAGGAGGAAGAGGGGCAGCTGGAGTTCAGTACGTCCTGTTAGCCCAGCCAGGATGAACTCAGTCACTGTGGAATGATTTCCAGGGTCCATTATCCTCTCAGCAGGTTCTAAGTTCAAAAAAGCAAAAATGAGTGTGCCTTTGTTAGTGTATAAACACTGTGTGTGTGTGTGTAGGAAGGTAATTTTGTGGAGCCCATTATTTTTTGTTTCTCCCAAGAAGAGATTCATAATGCAGGGCTCACCTGATGATTTTGGTTGAAGAGATCAAGGAATGATAGGCTTAAAACCCTATAATTCAGATATTTTGTCACACTTTAGAAAACATCAATGTTGGGATTTTTTTTAGTTCAACATTAATAAGCATTATTCCTGTTTTTTTTTTTTTTTGGTTACTCTTTTCCTTAGTTTATATGTATATCTTTGTATGCATAGATAATAGACAGACATAGATACATAGACATAGACATGTATATACTATGGCAGAAAATTGGCATAGTATTTTATTCAGTGGAGCAATGTATGACTATTGTAACTAGGATTGTTCTTAGCACTAACCTTGCAGGACTCCTTGGTGCTCAGGCAGCGTAAGCCCAGAAGTGTCCTTAGCAGTACTATTGAGTCTGGTCCTGAACTCTGTGAAGCTGGTGCTGTGTTGCACTCTGTTGATTTGATATGGTGACTTTATATCTTGCATATTGCTGCTCAGATATGATTAGGAACAAATAATGATAATGACATCCCATTAGAATCTTATCCCACAAGTATCAGCCCTTGGGAAAAGACACAGTTGCATTCTCCCTTTTTCCCCCATTGGCTCTCAGTGCTTGATGGTGGCAAGAGATGTGATTCGTTGTTATTGCTGGATCCCAACTTGGAAATGTGGATGTGAGTTATTCTTCTTAGAGTTCTGGCAAGTCTTGTGCCAACTTCCTAGAGTGTAATTTTGGAAGAAAATTGTAGACATTCACTCATTTATAAAGTGATGTCTCATATGGGAACAAAAAAAAAAAAACTATAATAACCTCTGTATGTACATTTTACAGTCTTTATTTCCATCAACCTCTCTTAATTATATTTACAAATCATGAGTTACTCATAAAATGTATTATTTGGAGCATTCTTCATGGTGACTAAATAAAAGCATTTATTAATATTTTCTTTACCCCATATGAATTTTCTGGCAAATCTAGCAATTAAAATTGATGACTTATTTTTTTTTCTAAAATTAAAAAAGAAATGTTGAGTAATAATATGAAGACATATAAAAGTTCTGTGTAAGTTTTAAATTTCTTATTATTTATTCTTTTACTCAAAGTATTTGAATTTTTCACTTTTTATAATTAACATAAATTTTCTTAATAAAATGTAATATGCTTTACATTAATCTTGGCATGGCACATTAGCTGTTTTTCTAATTATTTTTGATTAATAATTTTCAAATCACTATGAGGGGCAAAGCTCATACGGAATAATTCATGAACCTTATGGATAATGTTGCTCAGCAGTATTTCCCAAAACTTAGAGCAAGAAATGTGGCACAATGAAAGATAATCTTTGTTACTATGTATTTGACAAATTTAAAAATTATAAATAGAACTGTTATAAAATGCATCTGAATTCACTTATGCTAAACAATGCCAGAGAATACCTCATTTCTATAGCATTTATGATAAACCAGAAGTGTCCTTGATAATAGGTTGACTCAGAGCTACATAAAATAATTAAACATTTATGTTTGTCATGGAAAATTGTGTTTCATTCAGTCTCAAGAATAGAATCGATAAACCCTTTCAGGATGCTGATTAGCCAATTTCAGCAGACCTTAATGATATGATCATGCTAACATAATTTATGAATTATGTTTTAAGTTACACATTTTACTTTGCATTATGTACTTTAAAAAATTACATTTCATAATGTTTTTCTGAGACAAAATATCAATGCTAGATGCTAAATTAAACGAATGCTCAGATAACTCTACAACCACATAAATGATCTCTTACAAAGAGAGAATGACACTGCTGGTCCTGGCTATTCCTAATATTTATTCTCCCTTTCTTCCTAAAATTTTAATACCCTGAATCTCAGCTTAGGGTATGCCTACATACATAAACGTGAACTTTCTTAGACTCTTTCACAACTAGGTTTGACCTAAAGACCAAGTCTTTACCAGAGGGAAATGGTGTAAGTGAAGTCTATCACTTCTAGGTAGTTCCTTCAAGTTAGGGCATATTCCCTTCAGCTACTGTCTTTTTCTTTCTGGTGGCTGGGATGTGAAGAGGAAGGGTAAATCTGGAACCATAATGACTACAAAAGGTAGGTCAGGGAAGCAACAATTTAAAAGAAACTTATGTCCTTGAGAAGTCACTGTACTGGCCCGTGTGTGTGTGTGTGTGTGTGTGTGTGTGTGTGTAAAGTATAGTCAATCCTAAGGGTCACTAGAAAACTTAACCTGCTTATTATTTTGGAAGATTTTATTTATTTTTATTTTTGCATAGTACTGGGGTATAGGCCCAGAGGTGCAGGGGATGAAAGACAGAGATAAAGTTCACCAGAGACAGAGTTAGATGAAGGACAGCTGGATTTACTGAAATACACTGCTGACGGGAGCAGCAGAAGAGACAGGAGAGGTCTCCTGCACCATGCATGGGTTAGCTCTCTGACCAGGATAGAACTCAGGAGATCATGATGGGCTGTCAGGGTGATAGTGCTGAGGCTTAATCACTAGGCCACCAGAGAGGCTGGCAAACTTAATTCTGTTTAAAGCCCACCCTGTGACATACTGTGGTCCTTGAGAATGCTAATTGTACATAGAAACTTTTATTTTAGAAATATATGCTTGCATCAGAATTAAAGATAATTCTATGGTGAGGCCATTATCCAAGTTTATCATAGTGCCTAGTGTTTGAACATATTTACTGTTTCATGTAAATTCCAATTACTAAAATAATTGATAATATATCTCTGGGATGGTGCCTTGTTAGTCCTGCATATTTTTTTTTCCCAACTAAAAGAAGGTTTCCTCAAAAGTCCTTGGCCAACTTTTTTTTTTGTGATAGAGTTCTATCTTCACATTAGAATCTTTTTGATGTTCTAATATTTCAGTATCAAACCTTTCTCCATTTCTCATATCACTAGAGACAGTTCTGTAATTTTTTACCTTCATAACACTTTTCAACATAATAATGAATGCTTAGGAACAAACATTCTAAGAGTCATTCTAGTCTATAAGCCATCAATAGATTTTATTTACTGCCTACAGTAATAAAATAAGTACCACATATATAGGAGCTTTGCAAAACATATTCAGCAGTTAAAATCATGTAGGTGTATAGCACAGACATACACATATAGTTTGTACATAAGCACATATATTACACATATGCAGACGGATACACACCATGCAGCTAGCTTTAATGTGATTCAAAAATGTAGTATGAAGGGATGATTAGTATATAGAAAACCAAGAAGGGCATTTCCTTTATTTTTCAAAAAGAGGAAATAACCTTCTTTCACTCAATACATGATTCATGCCTCCGCCCTTGTTCATTAATCAGCATGTAGACATACTCGGGGCAGTGAAGGGTGACATCTCACTGAGGGGTTAAAGTCACATATTTGAAGACAAGCTGATGACAAAGTGTGCATTGTTCTGGGAGTTCTGTGCCCTGCCTCTGCTTCTGGGCTCAGCATAACAGATTAGCAGTCAGAACAAGGGATTTGGAGCTGTCCATGCTCATCTCCTTAACTTCTTATTCTGGGTGAGGAATTTTGAAAACATCAGGGGAAAGATCCCCTTACCTTCACTTATTATCTAGAAGTAGTTTTAAAACAAACTGAAATAGATGGCCTATAGACATCGGTGGAGCTGCTCTGAGAGAGAGAGAGAATACACAGTTTCAGCAGCAAGAGGAGGTGAGGAGTCAGCACAGCTACTGAGACTTACATCCAGCAGCTCTTACTTCCAAGCAGAAATTTCCTTTAACTCAAACATTCTCCACAGGCCTCTCTGGCCGTGTTACAAAGGCCACTGTAAATTCCAAGTGCAGGCCCTATCATACTTATGCTGGTGGAAACTTATCGGTGCAAGGGGAAAGGAGGGAATTTACTGCTTAAAGGTCTGCTTCCTTCTCAAAAAATTCATTTTCCCCCCAGAAGGTATAGTTAGGGCATAAAGGGCTACTATTGGAATAGTTCCCTCTGAATTAGGAATGAGAGAATAAGAGTATTCTCACCTACATGGAGGTGGTAGTGTCCCAAACTGGGGAGCAAGGGGTGTTCTGCAAATATAGAAGACAAAATACAGACACGATATATTCAGTGCTGGTACTGTCCCTCTCTTGCATGATAGTGTAACAGAGTGGTCCCTAGGAAAAGGAGAAGTTCTGGGTTCCCTGCCCCACCCAGGAGGGTGGAGCTGAGGAGAGAAAAGGGGAGAAGAAAGAGAAGGAATCTGAGGAGAAGGAAGCAGGATGGAGAGCCAGAAGGAGCCCTCAGGAAGCCAAGTGGAGCAAAGGGAGACATGTGAAGAAACCGTGTTTGTTTCTTGGCCCTGGACTGGGTGAAAGAGACGTGGGTGAGAGACCCATGGTGAGGTTGACTGTGGCAGTGTTTGTATTGATTTTGATTTTGCTCTTTTCCTCCCAGACTTGTCTGGCCATTTCTGACCCTTTTCTATAGGTCCCGGCCAGAAGGTGCTTTAGTCTTGTGGTAGCTTTTGGGCCTTGTTTTGTGCCAATCCCTTTGAGTGGACTTTTGCCCATGAGGGGATGGGTAACTTCAGGTGTTTGATTTAGAAATTATATTGTTTGTCTTCCGTATTGTATACTCACTGTATTAAAGTTCCTTTTCATTAAAGTCTTATATGTTTTTGTCTAGATGAGGCAGATGGCAAAACCTATTTAGAGCAGGCAGTTTGGGGGTTCAGTGGTACCCCTCTCTCCCTGCCCTGTAACACTAGCAAAATTGATGATGTAGGAATTATGTCGGAATACCCCTGTTAGGCCCCCAGGTTTGCTAATACAATTCTGTCCATTGTGTAAGAACTGATGATAGGAATTTATAGATTCCAAATGTTTCAAAATTATTGA